ACTACGTCCGCAAAATGCCCTTCTCACACTACACCACTCACTTATTTATCCATACCTCACCTATGCTATTTGTGCTTGGGGATCAACTGCAGCAACACACCTAAAGCCAATAATAACCCAACAAAAAGCTGCAGTAAGAATAATCACTAAATCCCATCCCTGGCAACACACCCCCCTACTCTTCATAGATCTAAACTTACTCCCTGTTCAGTACATCCACACTTACTACTGGGAAATCTACATCTACAGGACCTTAAACTCCAATATCAACCTTGACCTAAAACGCTTTCTTGATAGTTGTGACAGAACCCACAGGCATAACACCAGACACAAACATCTCTACGACATTCCCCATGTCCGACTAAACCTTTACAAAAATTCAACGTATGTCAAAGGCCCTAAAATCTGGAACACCCTACCTGAGAACTCTAGAACTGCAGACACATTCATCACCTTCAAAACTACCATTAGAAAACATCTTATCTCCCTGATAAACCCCATCAACTAACTACACGAATACCACCTGGTGGTTCACACTTACACTCACTCACCCATTTGACCATAAACAGAAATATTAATCTCAATCTTAAAATAATGAATCCTATGATACTCCAATACTGAAACTATGTACTGTGCCAAAACAAAAGCATTCACATTGCTAAACTCACAAACTAGTATTTAGTCACTTAGCCATAATACCAACTTACCTCATAATTTGTAATATTTTAAAATAAAGAATTAAACTAAGTCTGCCCGAAATGCCTAGCCATGCTAGGCGTTTTAGTGGTACACTCTGTAATCATTATTTAACTACATGTAAACCACACAACAACCAAATTCTGTAAATTCAACATTGTAATCTTTATAGAGAATAAACTTTGAATTTGAATTTGAAACTAGCGGTCGTATCCCGGGGAGAATAATTAAGGGACCATAATGTAGCCAAGAGTCCGCGATGACGCAGTAACTTGGGTTATCCTTGGTGGCTACCCCATCTCTCTCTCCCCCCCCCCCCCGGTTAAAAAGGTTAGAGTTTTTCAAGTGAGTGCCACAGTGTACACACAGAAGGAATTCCTTTGATACTTGTGTGTTTTAGTAGGGACTCGTGTAGCTGTGTGAGAAAATGGTGTAATAAAATATTTATGGGTTATAGGCATTCATTTTGACTAAGTTCTATATCATTTAGCTTATAAGTACCAGTTTTCCTATAATTAGAACCATAAATATCTGCCACTTTTCTAACAGGTCAATGTATACAGATCATCATGTAGCTTTCTAGTGTCTTCAAAAATTATTTGACAGCTTAATTTTGTCATCAAACTTATGTCAATATTTATTCAGTCATTTACGTCATTTTAGTAGTGTGAGCAACGAGGGTCCCAGCATCATCCTCTGCAGCATACCACTGGCAACAGGTCCCTATTCTGATTTCTCCCCATTGATGCAAATGCTTACAATAATTATAATAATAATCTTTATTTCTAGAAACAAGTACATGCACAAGGTATATAGGCCTAGCTGCTATCAGTGACATACTGCTATATAGAAAGCCCCTTGTTATGCAGAGCATTTCAAGCAAGTTAGGTCAGTTTTGTCCTAGGATGTGACCTACACCAGAGAAATAACACCCAGGTACCTATTTTACTGATGGGTGAACATTGGACAGCAGATATCTTAAAGAAACACTTGGCTATTGGTTAGCCATGCCTCATCCCAGGAGATAATTTCTCCTGTTCCCTATGCCACTACTTCTCTAAGCAGTCTCTGATATGCATCTTTATCAAAAACCTGAAGTCCGTATATGATATTGTGCATATCGACTAAGGATTATCATAGAGACAGAGCAGACGGTAGTCGTGAATTATTATTATGTGAGTAAAGTACCTGCAGGAGGTTTACAGGGTATTACGTTAATTATTTCCAGGTCGCCGAACTGTAACTCCCTCGATGCCCACTGCTTCACCACTCACAAAAAGCTAGACCCGACATTAAATTAATAATTAAAATATTGAAACCAGCTACTGAGTGAGCAGGGGTGTAAGTAAGTAAGTTTATTCAGGTATACACAAATACAGTTACATAGAATTATCATACATAGCAGCATATGTGTAGAGAACCTAGGATAACCCAAAAAAGTCAGACACAGTGACTTATTTCCACTGGGGTTTTATTATGCCTCGCATAGAGTGAGACACATGCCTCTGGGGATGTTTTGGCCGCTGCTAGATCTATCTCAGATCTAGCAGCAACCAAAGTACTTTAATAATAATAATCTTTATTTCTACAAATACATATACAATGCATACAGTCCTAGATGACATCAATGGCATACTACTATATAGAAGGCCCCTTGTTATGCAGAACATTTCGGGCAAATTAGGTCAGTTTTGTCTTCAGGATATGAGCTGAGTGCGCTAGCAAAGCCTTAAACTGATCTCATTGAGAAACCTGACTTGCTAACATTTATGTCGCACTCTCACATAGGGTTTTCAGCCCATTTCTAAGTTAAGTTGGGTCACGTAGGTTAGTTTCAACGGAAAAACTATAAAAGTCGATCAAAAGTCTGCAGCGGGAACAGAAAATGGGCAGCCATTTTGCTGGGCTCTTATAACAGTCATATTGAAATTATTCAATACTGTCAGTCACCCATTTATTTGCCTGTTTTTACAACAGTGCCATGTTGCCTATGGTTGAGAGGATGGGCTGCAATGGAAAGTCTAGTCTTGCCAGTTCATCTCTTCCCCTCTCTTTTTGCATACCTGATGTACTGACATGCATTTCTCCAGTACTGCTTCCATCAGTTTGGCCTTCTATGAGTTAGGTTCCCATATAGATCCCATTCCTTCCAGCATTAGATTGCACTTGGATAAATTTAAATTACATTATTATATGCATGGTGAAGCGCTAGACCTATAGGAGTCAAAGTTACTGAAAAATGGGAGGCCATCAGATTTTGATCCAAGAAGAGGAGGGCAGGTCCATTATTTTAACAGGTATTATAATGGGAAGCACTAGACCCGTAGAGGTCATAGCTCCAGGTAAAGGGAAGGCAATAAAGTTTAAGGCAATGGAGTTCAGGGTAAATCCAGTTCCTTGGATTGCAAGTCCGTCTGCATAAAGGCACACCATCCTCGAAGGGATTTAGATTTATTAAGACAGGCTGTTGGAAAGCACACTTGGCAATTGTGGATGGGTGACACAGACTTTGTGTCAATTCGGCTAGCATTATGGATATTAAAAAAAATACATGGGTAAGAATAAACTGAATGAGGTGTGTAAACTGGCCTATCCAAGCATGGGCCTGTATACATATGGCGATGCTAATACAGTGGTCCCTCGCTTTTCGTAGTTCTCGGCAATCATAAATTTCGCCAATCATAGGGGTATTGATGAGATTAAGACACATGTGCAACATCTGGGTATCTTTATTGTAGACGTTTCGCCATCCAGTGGCTTTATCAATACAAATTCTAGGACATAACTTGAAGACAGTAGAACTATGTACAGAAGATGAGGTAATCAGTCCCTCAACCTAGGAGTAGGTGCAAAGAGCACCATAGTCGTGGAGATTCTGAAGCAGAAGAAAGGAGCCTGGCGCTTATATAGTAACGTCAGGTGTAGCAGACGAGGGCATATTCACTGGTAGGCGGGATTCCCCAGTGGAAGTAGGTCCTTCCCAAAGAGATGGGTTAGTTGTAGTAGTAGTTGTCGTAGTCGTGAAGGTTATGTACATGTCCTCAGAATTAAGATTCCAAGATTCCTCGTCTGCTACACCTGACGTTACTATATAAGCGCCAGGCTCCTTTCTTCTGCTTCAGAATCTCCACGACTATGGTGCTCTTTGCACCTACTCCTAGGTTGAGGGACTGATTACCTCATCTTCTGTACATAGTTCTACTGTCTTCAAGTTATGTCCTAGAATTTGTATTGATAAAGCCACTGGATGGCAAAACGTCTACAATAAAGATACCCAGATGTTGCACATGTCTCTTAATCTCATCTTGTCGGTATTATATACCATTCGTACACAACATAGGGGTATTTTCGTATAAACATGGACTCGCTTTTCATAGGTTGACTCGCGAATAGTAGTTCGTTTGGGACGCGTACTCACGGTGTGAGCCGGGGCAGCCTCCCTACCCAGCCAGTCTGGCATTGTTTACCAGTGAGTGAAGGTCCCCTCAAGTGCTCCTACGAAATATTTCATAATATTCCACTCATTTTAGTGCTTGCAAGTACTAAATAAGCTACCATGGCTCCAAAGAAAGCTAGTGCCAAGCCTGTGGTAAAGAAGGTGAGAAGTATGTACCTTGGCGAAGTCTTGGGCCATTTTAGGGAAGTGTTAAAGAGATGCCAGAAACAGAGCTCTCTCCACAGTTACTTTGCAAGACAGGACTAGAGTGACTCTCAAGGTGGTCCTAGTGGCATTAAGAAACAGAGAAGAGAAGCAACCCCAGAGAAGCAATTGGTACCTGAGGTGTTGCTGGAAGGGGATTCCCCTTCCAAACTGTAAACAATCCAATCTCTCTCCTCCTCCAGTCTCCCATACACTAAGAAGAATCTCCAATAAAGGTAAGTGTTATGCTGTTAATGTTTCATTCATCATTTCCCATTGTATTGTTTATGTACTACATGTATATTTCATGTAAAAAAAATTTTTGTTTTAATACTTCTGGGTGTCAGGAACGGATTAATTGTATTTACATTATTTCTTATGGGGAAAATTGATTCGCAAATCGTAAACTTCGTTTATAGTAGCTCCTCCAGGAACGGATTAATTACGAAAAACGAGGGACCACTGTATATTGTAAGCATCTATTGCTTTCTTTACATCATTACCATTATGCTGCTACAAAAATACTGCAACTTATTTTCAATTAATTATCAAGTGAGTTGGTATTATCATAGCCAAGCCTTAACACACCTCACCATCTGAGTATGGCATTATTCATTTAAAGTTATAAAGTTTTGTCTGCTCTCAATTATCGTATTGTTTACAGGTAAAACTCGTTAAAGATGTCATTAGCAGGTGACCGGGCCATTCTCAACTCCATATTTAATCCTCTGTTGCCTGTGGGAGAGTGTGTTTACCAGGAGGATATACCCGAGGAGCCACAAGGTAAGGAAATCAAACAAGATACTCCTACATTATATGACCCCAAAAAGCTACTTAGATGAGGTAGTCTTCAGCATTGCCATCAGCTGTGGGTCACTATAATTGGATGCGTTGCAGCGTTTGTGGGTGGTGGTACAGGTAGCACATTACACAGGTGTGGGTGGTGGTACAGGTAGCACATTACACAGGTGTGGGTGGTGGTACAGGCAGCACATTACACAGGTGTGGGTGGTGGTACAGGCAGCACATTACACAGGTGTGGGTGGTGGTACAGGCAGCACATTACACAGGTGTGGGTGGTGGTACAGGCAGTGCATTACACAGGTGTGGGTGGTGGTACAGGTAGCACATTACACAGGTGTGGGTGGTGGTACAAGTAGCACATTACACAGGTGTGGGTGGTGGTACAGATAGCACATTACACAGGTGTGGGTGGTGGTACAGGTAGCACATTACACAGGTGTGGGTGGTGGTACAGGTAGCACATTACACAGGTGTGGGTGGTGGTACAGGCAGCACATTACACAGGTGTGGGTGGTGGTACAGGCAGCACATTACACAGGTGTGGGTGGTGGTACAGATAGCACATTACACAGGTGTGGGTGGTGGTACAGGCAGCACATTACACAGGTGTGGGTGGTGGTACAGACAGCACATTACACAGGTGTGGGTGGTGGTACAGGTAGCACATTACACAGGTGTGGGTGGTGGTACAGGTAGCACATTACACAGGTGTGGGTGGTGGTACAGGCAGCACATTACACAGGTGTGGGTGGTGGTACAGGCAGCACATTACACAGGTGTGGGTGGTGGTACAGGCAATGCATTACACAGGTGTGGGTGGTGGTACAGGCAGTGCATTACACAGGTGTGGGTGGTGGTACAGGTAGCACATTACACAGGTGTGGGTGGTGGTACAGATAGCACATTACACAGGTGTGGGTGGTGGTACAGGCAGCACATTACACAGGTGTGGGTGGTGGTACAGGCAGCACATTACACAGGTGTGGGTGGTGGTACAGGCAGCACATTACACAGGTGTGGGTGGTGGTACAGGTGGCACATTACACAAGTGTGGGTGGTGGTACAGGCAGCACATTACACAGGTGTGGGTGGTGGTACAGATAGCACATTACACAGGTGTGGGTGGTGATAGCGGTACAGGAGTAATTGACATTGGTAAAAGCTAATTGCTAAAGTTCGAAGAGAAGAGGGATTTAGCTGTGTTATGAAACTGTTAGAATGATGGGCAAGCTTGAATGTTAAAATTCCATGCCAGAAAGAATGGGGAATCATTTTTTATTCATATAGACATGGAGAACTGAATTTAGCACTTGATCCAAATGCATTTCAGCAGGGGATTAAATCACTTGAAATGTAGTGGCCATTATTTTAGAATTGTGGTGGCCCAGTGATAAAGTATCTTTTGGTATTCGTCAGAGATATATATATGTATGTGTTATTACCTACTTGAAATTATGCTCATTGTGTCCCGTCTTGAATACTCTGTTCACTGCAGTCCATGACCTGATAATCCCTCTCCCTCTTGCTACCCCTGCACCCTTCCCTGCCCTGCTGCGCTGTATGACCCTTGTAGGGTCATACAGCGCAGCAGGGAAGGGTGCAGGGGTAGCAAGAGGGAGAGGGGTTATCATCAGGTCATGAACTGCAGTGGGGCAGTGGATGGTGTAGGGGTATAGGGTAACAAGGAGTGAAGAGTGCTAGAAGCATCATCATCAGAGTTTGTGCAGTAAATCAGTTGCTGTCAAAAAGTCAACGAGAGAGTCTGGGTTAAAGGAGGGTCCATCAGCAAGAAGAGAAAGTAAAGTAAGGGCAGTAGAGCAGTGATGACGTTGGAGGTAAATTCTGCATGCTTGTTGATAGTGGGCAGACCAACAGAATATAGCTAACAGAAACTGGAACCTGACAATTCACAGAGTGGAACAGGGCACCTCTCTTTGAAATATCCATGACTAAGACGAGTGTGGCCGATGCTAAGACGGGAGAGAGTAGTCTCCCAACCTCAATATTGATGACAAGAAGATGGCCAGAAACCCGTACAGTGGACCCCCGCTTAACGATCACCTCCAAATGCGACCAATTATGTAAGTGTATTTATGTAAGTGCGTTTGTACGTGTATGTTTGGGGGTCTGAAATGGACTAATCTACTTCACAATATTCCTTATGGGAAAAAATTCGGTCAGTACTGGCACCTGAACATACTACTGGAATGAAAAAAGTTCGTTAACCGGGGGTCCACTGTACTTGGTTTTATAGAATGTAATTTATGTAGAAGATCAGACCAATGTTGTTGCCAGTGGGTGCAAGGGTGGGTAGCAGTTACAGCAAAAGTCTGTGAATGGAACACCTCTATATGAAGCTGGGAGGTCATGTACTGCTGACCATGCAGTAGTGCCTGCCTGTTTATTGCCCTGTATGTCAGCATGACTGGGGACCCAACAAAAAACAATATCTTTGTGCTTGCTAGAGATATGGCATAACCAAAGTTTTCTTATAGCCTGTAAAGCACTAAGGGAGTCTGAAACGACCACAAATGGTGACACAGGCATAGATGCAATACAGATAAGTGCAATGAGAATGGCACACAATTCAGCCGTAAAAATGCTAGGATAATAAAGGCCCTCACACAATGCTGCCCAGAAACACTGCTGCGAATTCAATGCTGTTAGAAGACTTGGAACCATTGTTGTACACTGCGATAGCATGAGAATGGATTGGAAGTGGTTAAGAAAGAGAGCAAGAAGCCACCGTAAGCATTTGGACTTTTGCGCATGGCAGTGGGAAAGAACAGACACAAACCATCAGAACTTTCCAAGGGGGTAGGGAAAAGTGAGATGCTTCATGAACATAGTAAGGTAAGGTGGTAAATGAAGAGAAGATGAGAGAGAATGTAGGCGAAGAGAAAAGGGATGGAGTAAACGGGCGACGAACAAATGAAGAATGTCTACTAATGTCAGGGACTATCCTATATATGAAAGGATTTCAGAGTTTATGAGAGCAAACATAATAGTGAAGGCAATGAGCATCATGGCAGTCGGTCAAGGATGGAGTACGTGTATTTGCCTCTGCATAGAGGCTCTTAACCAATGAAGGGCGAAAAGCACTGAGGCATCAACATTACCTCTGGTGATGGATGGGATTAAGGCTCTAGCCTTAATCCCATCCATGCAAGGGAGACCGCTGAATATATCTGGTCGCCATAATCTAGTTTCGATAAAATTAGGAAATGTCTCTCAGTTAAGAAATTCTTAAGGAAAAATAGTAGATTGCCTCGGAGGCCTAAGGAGTGGGCCTGGGCCTGGGCCAAGATGTTATACCTCCAAGCTGTCATATGCCTTCCCAAGATCAAAAAAAGATGGCAATAACTGAGTGGTTATTGGTAGAAAGGCCCTTACAAAAGCCATATTGACAAGTGGAGAGACTATTGTCTCTAAATACCACATAAAACTTCTATTTAACAGATGTTCCATCACCTTGCAAACTGCACTGGTAAGAGCAATGGGACGACAGTGAGGGGCACCATGTCCCATAGTACCTAGTTTGCAGAAAGGGAGAACAATGGCAGATTTCCACAGCTGGGGAAGAACTCCTTGCAACCAAATAAAATTAAAGAGTCGTAAGAGGACAGCAAGGGCAGACTGATGTAGGGTGCTGTAGCATACAAATATGAATGCTGTCAGGCCCAGGTGCCGATGATCAGCAAGTGGAGTGTGTTACCTCCAGTTCCAGAAGTGTAAAAGGTACATTATAAGATTCTTCTCTGATAGAAGAAAAGTTTAAAGGTTCTAACTCTGGCAGACTTGGAGGAAAGAAACAAGGGGCATAGATGGAGCCCCTGAGAGATACGGACAAGATGATTACCAATTTTGGTGGCAACATCAAGTGGGATTGCTATAGTGACAGTGGCAATTCGAAGTATGGGAGCCGAGTCAGGAGAGTATATTTACCACTCAGTTTCTTTACTTTTTTTTCAGACTGCACTCGTAGAGGAAGCCGAAGTGATGGTAGTAACATAATCCTGCCAGCAGGTGCATTTAATGTCACGGATGACACGGTGGGTGATTGCTGTTGTCTGCTTAAAATCAAGGAGTTGCTCTGTGGTTCTATTGTACTGGTACCTGCCCCATGCAACACGTTTCAAACGGACTGCCCAAGCACAAGCAGGAGACCACCAAGGCATGCACCTCTGAGAATGCCTGCCTGAGGTTTGGGGTATAGAATGTGAAGCTGTGGTTAAAAGTGAGTTTGAGAAGAGGTGTAAAAGCTCATCAATGGGGGACGAAGAAGGATCCTCACTAAAAGCAGTTTGACGTGAATAAAGGTCCAAATTCACTTTGTCAAATGCCAGCATGGGCTACGAGGAGGTGGTGAATACAAAAGAGAAGTAAGGATGATTGGAAAATAATCACTGTCATGCAAGTCCAGAGGACAGACCAGGTAAAATCTAGTACGGTTGAAGAAGAGCAACCCGAGAGATCGGTGCAAGAAAGAAAATGAGTACGAAGATCAAAATGGGTGGGAGTACCCGTATATAAAACACGGAGGGGGAGAGGAGCAAGAAAAGCATCCAACTGAATGCCGTGGGAGTCACAGTGAGACTCCCCCCCCCCCCCCAGGAAATGGTGAGCATTAAAATTGCCAAGTAACAGAAGTGGTGGCAGTAAGGAAGGAACCAGAAATGGAACACCAGGGATAGGTAATTCCCAAGAAGGAGAGATATACAAAGAACAGATTGTATACTACTAATTCAAGTGGATGCGGGCTGTAGTGTAATACAGTGAAGTATGAACAAAGAGTTGATGGTATGGAATACCAGTGTTTATAAGAAGTGCACTTTCATTAAAGGTTCCATCGGGAAAAGGATCTGATTAATATAATAAAACATAGCCTGAGATGGGTTGGATAACAGCAGAGCATAATTTGGGTTCTTGTAAACAAACACAAATGAGAAAACTGGGAGAGCAACACCTGAAGCTCACCCCAGTTACCCCTGAGGCTATGGATATTCCACTGTAAATAATCCATGATTTGCAAAGAGAAAGATACAAGAAATCTGAAGGTAGAGATATCTACGGACTAGAAGGGTTAGAAAAGTCCACATGGAGGCAGCAGAAAACGAATGAGCAGCGATGGGTTGGAATGCTATGAAGAAGAGGAGGAACAGGAGGTGGATCAGTGTCCATCAGTGATCTAGTCACCTCAATATATTTGGAGATAGCTTCAAGTGTTTCAGAGGACAAGGACGTTGTATGTGGGACGACATTGGAGATGGAAGGAGGAGGGTAAGTAAAGATCAGGGTGATGACGGAATGTACCAAAGTAAGGGGGGACGGAAGGGTAGAGGGACCTGGAGAAGAAGCTAGGGAGGGGACAGGAGAAGAAGCGACCTGGCAGGGGATAGAAGAGGCAGAAACTTGGGAAGGGACAGGGAAGGAAGGTACTGTACGAGGAGGAGGATGAACCTCCACACTCGCAACAGAGCCAGTTAGAGGCGAATAACCAGGAACAGAGACTGGAAAGGAAAAATGTGCAGGTAGAAGAAGGGAAGGAGGGGTTAAAGGAGATTTTAACAATGGGGATTTTTTGGACTTTAGAGAAGTAAAGGGGCGATGGGGAGGAGTTGTACAAGGTCTTGTAGACACAGAAACCTGTGAGTGAGAAGAGGAAGAGGTTAGAACAGAATGAGGTGTGGAGGTAAGGACCTCTGAGTCCAGGACAACAAAAGAATTAGAGACAGGGGTCACTGTGGAAGTTGGGACCCCAGAGGTGGGGGGTCGTTTAGTAACTCAAGAATAAGAAATCCGGGGAAGTCTTCCCTGTAGGCGTAGATGAGAGACTGCCATAGCATAAGGAAAGCCTTCTGCCTCTTGGAGACAGTGGATTTCTCACTCATTTAAGTAAACTTAGCAGTGGCGAGAATAAGATGGGTGAGCCTCACGACAAGGCAAGAGGGCGGTAGACTACAAGACATATTGATATAGTTGTCGGCACCATAGACTGGGCATTCGGCCATGGACCTGCAATATTTCACTGGATGACCAAAACACCAGCAATTTCTACACTGTTGCGATGTAGGGATCACCTTTCAAACTTGTAAATGGTGTCCCACAACATAAACCGAGGACGGAAGCTCACAGCAGTCAAAAGTTAAGCAAGCTACATTGCATTGGTATCATCTCCGCTTGTGGGCAGGGAGGACATAAGTGTCTACTTTGAGGATTGGGAGGTCTTGGAACTCCAACTGTTCCAGAATGTCATCACCACATGTCTGGAAATTCTGTTAGACAATGGTATGAGGTAAAATGACAGTACCACTACAAGAATTGAGAGAATGATGGTTTTCAATAGTTACAGGAATAGCATCTATGGTTGTAAGGAAAGAAAGAGCGCAAGCTTGGCTAGCATTCTGTACCGTGATGACGTGTGCACCTCTTTTGAGAGCATGAAAGGATATATCTCGGCCAACATGGCGTAGGAGCACCTTGCTAATGCTATAACTGGAAAGGTAGTCTGAAAGTCGTCAGTCACAGAGTAAAAAACTTAGTCCATTGTGTATTTTTAAACATAGCATGTAAGGGGAGGGAGTGTCTTGCTGGTCTTTTCTGGGTAGAATGAGAAGGAAGTGAAGGAGTATCATCAAGTAATGGTCTTGGGCTTTTAGGTGTGAAACTGGAGTTGGTCCGATGTGGGACAGGCGGGTGATCCGAGGGAGAAGCTGGAAGCATGGTCAAAGAAGTGTGGAGGTCAGATGTATCAAAGGAGTAGGCGGAACACTGGTACCTTAAGCGGGTGGTGAAACAGCACCAGCAAGAGGTACAAGGGCATGAGAAATGTCCAAAGAGTGGTTAAATAATGAGGTAGGGTCGGAACAAGGTGTGGTAGCAGAAAGGGGCCCAGGGGGAGCTGTTTCATGGACTTGGGACTCCATGGTTATGTCACTTCTTTCTTTTTGTTTTTAGAAAAAAAGAAGAGAAAAAGAAAAAAGGGGGGGGGGGAATATGGAGGAATAGCTCCTAGGAGGAATGAAGGGGCCATAAATCCCCCTACGCACCCAAGAGGGCTCCAGCACTGCAAGTAGTCCAAACAGGGCATAAAACCTGTGCCATACTCTACCCTTCATGCCAGTAAACCAGCAATCTGGGATAGCAACCTCACATCTACCAAGCCACCTTGGTGGATAAAAGAGAGGGCGGCCGGATACCCGCCACAGTGCATTCAGCCACCACCCCCCGGAATCTGAAAGGCAGCTTCTAGAGATACACCTATCGCCCGAAAGGCAGCCAAACCCCACCCCCCAGGAGACCGGAGAGGGAGTGGGACATGCCCAGGTGATCCAGATTCCACAGCAAATTAAACCATTACCATGGACCTCAATGGAATGGGATGGACCATGGTACCCTTCCCCCTACCTAGGAACTGGTGCCTGTGGGAAGAATCCCAAAGGCTGAAAACAGAAGAGGATAGGGGAGGGAGGTGGGGAGGAGGAGGAGGAAAGGAAGAAGGGGGGGATGAGGAGGATGGGATAGGAAAGGGGGGATTGGGGGTAATTAGGTTTGGTCTGAGGAAGGAGACCAAAAGATCTAATTCCTCAGACCAAGAGCCTCTTCACCGCGCCAAGGAGCCCCCCTTGAAGAGGTTCGTTTAAATAGCAATGCTCTTCTTGCCAAATAAGGCAACATCCTGTCAACCTAACTAGTAATATCAAGGGGGAAGGGGCTTGGGGGCTTCATCCCCCATACATATACAGTAGGGCCCCACTTTATGGCATTTCGCCTTACAGCGTTCCGCTAATATGGCAATTTCAAATTATGACCAAAACTTTCTATACGTTGAGTGGTCTTTCAAATATGGCATGCACCACCCGGCTTGTTTACATTCTCTGTGGTTTTCATCGTATTCGGTTTTCCACGACTTTTTTCATCAAAATAGTCCCGGTTTTCATTCATCACCAACTTTCATCCATTGTACCAAACGTGTCCGTCTGTCTGTGCCCACACACAGCATCCCACGCACGCATTCTGAGTCAGTCTGACTTTGTTTCTAGTCAAGTGAATATTACCTTGCACATTCATACAAAACATTTCATAACAGTCCATTGTTTTTTGTGCCTGTTTATTGAATGTGTTTGCTAAATAAGTCACCATGGGGCCAAAGAAAGTTCCAAGTGATAAAGAAGGTGAGAACCACGATAGAATTCAATGGTGGTAGAGGGTGGTAGTGATGGTGGAAGAGGGTGGTAGTGATTGTGGTCCAGGGTGGTAGTGATGGTGGTCGAGAGTGGTAGTGATGGTGGTTGAGGGTGGTAGTGATTGTGGTCGAGGGTGGTAGTGATGGTGGTAGAGATAACCTCTCCTCGCTGTCTTCCATACTCCAACAAGAGTCTTCAATAAAGGTAAAAGTGATTTAATGTTCGTTTATCCATTTCACTAGTGCTTTATATTTATTTCTCATTGTTTTCTGTATGTAAAACTAGTTATTCTCTACAAAATGTACTTTTTGTTAATATTTTTGGGTGTCTGGAATGGATTAATTGGATTTACATTATTTCTTATGGGAAATATTGCTTCAGTTTTCATTGAATTCGGTTTTCGTCAGACTCTCTGGAACAAATTAAAGATGAAAACTGAGGTTCCACTGTACTGTATTTAAAACTAATACTTAACTTCAGCATGACCTTTTCATTTCAACAGATTGTGAAGAAATCTCTCCAGAAAATGAAGAGGCCAAGAATCATGAAATCAAGGGTATCAGAGCAGCAGACACAGGCGATATAGAGACCGCTGTGGGATTTTTCAACAGGGCAATTGAAATAGCCCCAGCAAGAGCCTCAGGATATAACAACAGAGCACAGGCATTCAGGCTTCAAGGGAAGGTAGATGGTAAGTCTCGCAGAGAAAATAATGAGTAATTTTGTTTCCTTTTATAAAATGAGGAATTTTCATTTATACTTAATTTTTATAAAAGGTGTATGATAGGATGAATAGGGGGGGCAATGTGGCAGATGTTGCATATGTATGGAATAGGAGGTAGGTTATTGAAAGCAGTGAAGAGTCTTTGCAAATATAGTGAGGCTCAGGTTAGAGTATGTAGGCAAGAGGGAGATTATTTTCCTGTAAAAGAAGGCCATAGACAGGGATGTGTGATGTCACCATGGTTGTTCAGTATATTTATAGATGGAGCTGTAAGAGAAGTGAATGCTCGGGTGTTGGCAAGAGGTGTGGGGTTAAAAGATAAAGAATCTAACACAAAGTGGGAGTTGTCACAGTTGCTCTTTGCTGATGACACTGCTTTTGGGAGATTCTGAAGAGAAGTTGCAGAGGTTAGTTGATGAGTTTGGTAGGGTATGTAAAAGAAGGAAATTAAAAGTGAATATAGGAAAGAGTAAGGTGATGAAGATAAAAACAATTAGGTAATGGAAGATTGGATATCAGATTGGAGAGAGTATGGAGGAGGTGATTGTATTCAGATATTTGGGAGTGGACGTGTCAGCAGATGGGTCTTTGAAAGATGAGGTGAATCATAGAATTAACGAGGGGAAAAAGGTAAGTGGTGCAATGAGGAGTCTGTGGAGACAAAGAACTTTATCCATGAAAGCAAAGAGGGGGGAATGCATGAGAGTATAGTTATACCAATGCTCTTGTATGGGTGTAAGGCATGGGTGGTGAATGTTGCAACAAGGAGAAGGCTGGAGGCAGTGGAGATGTCATGTCTAAGGGCAGTGTGTGGTGTGAATATAATGCAGAGAATCCATAATTTGGAGAGTAAGAGGTACGGGATTACCAAAACTATTATCCAGAGGGCTGAGGAGGGGTTATAGAGATGTTTTGACATGTAGAGAGGATGGAACGAAATAGTGACTTCGAGAGTGTATAAATCTGCAGTGGAGGGAACGCAGGGTAGGGGTCAGCCTAAGAAAGGTTGGAGGGAGGGGGGAAAGGAAATTTTGTATGCGAGGGGCTTGGACTTCCAGCAAGTGTGTGTGAGGGCGTGTTAGATAGGAGCAAATTGAGACAAATGGTTTTAGGAATTAATGTGTTGGAGTGTAAGCAAGGTAACATTTATGAAGGGATTCAGGGAAACTGGCAGGCCGGACTTGGTTCCTGGAGATGGGAAGTATGCCGGCACTCTGAAGGAAGGGTGTTATTGTTGCAGTTTTATAACAATAGTGTAAGCATGCCTCTGGCAAGACAGTGATGGAGCGAATGATGATGGAAGTTTTTCTTTTTTGGGCCACCCTGCCTTGGTGGAAAACAGCTGATGTGTTAATAAAAATAATTTTTTTTTATATAAAACTGCTTATAGGAGGCAACCAAGTTTAATCCAAATGAAGGGTAGCTCTAATTCTCTGGATCACGAGGCCTTCAGTGGCATCAAGGCTCCTTTGAAGGGAATGCTGGTGAAACACTTCATTTCCAAGAATTGGAGCTACCATCCCCCCCCCCTCTTCAGATCAAATCTGATTACACGTACCTCCCCAGGCAGTGTATGGCCTCTAGGGATGTAGTGCTTCCTCATGAAGTGATAATCTTCATTCCCTCTCTTTCACTAATCACCAGAGGCAATGACAGATCTAAACACAGCTGTGCAACTCTGTAATGGCAAGGGTCGAGCTGCATGTCAAGCCTATTCCCAAAGAGCCATGATCCACCGTCTTCATGGCAATGATAATCAGGCTCGTGATGATTTCCAGGCTGCTGCAAATTTAGGCTCAGAGTTTGCTAAAGCACAGGTGAGGAAAATTATTTAAAGATGGGGTAAATGTACTTATATATGACTACATTAGTATTCCAACAAATAATAGTGTTGAAGCTGTTAATAAATATCAGAGCCTAATTTTTCAAATATGAGAGAGATTGGGGTGCTGTATGATTTAAGTAAATGACAAATTAGAGTATTGTATTGTGAATATTTATATAAACCTTTGGTATTTTTTAGGATTAGTGTTTGTCACATTAAAAAAATGACGTAAAGCTTGCTTATCCCTTTTTTGTGAGTTTTGATCAGTATTTTACCATTTAGTTGTGAATATAAATTATGTTTGTCCAACACACAATTTACAACCTGTCCCATTGTACTCAAAGAAGAAATTTCCTCTTAACAGCCAGTCAGATCTTAATACGTACCTTGTTTTGGAATCTAAACCACCTTACAGTTGAAATGAATTACTGCAACATGTTGCTTAAAATTACATGCTAAGACTAGAATTAAGTAGATATGCAAAATTATTTGCATATCAAGTGGCTTTCTTTTGAGAATGCAAATGTATCAAATATGAGGTGATACTGCTGCGAAAAAAAAAATGTATAGGCTTAACTAATTCCCCAGTTGAAGGTGTCTCTCTCAAATTACTCTTTGGGACTCCATATACGTACTGATCACAGCACCTATGCCACTTCTTGAAACATTTCTTGAACTATTCTTTCCTAAAGAAATCTAGAGTGACTTGTGTGTGTTTGAATTTCCTCCACTTTGTTAAAGTGCAGCCCCTTGAGTGCCATTTTTATTTTTGGGAAGAGAAAGCAGTCGGGAGAGGGGGGGGGGGGGCTAGATCTGGGGAGTAGGGTGGAAGGGAGATGACAGCCATATTGCTTTTGACCAGAAAATGATGATCTTTCTGGTCTTGAGTTGACAAGTGGGGCACAGATTTTGCAAATACTCCTCATGTTCAAATTCTCAGTCAGTATACTTTGACATGACCCATAAGAAATTCCCACAGCACTGTGTCCTGGATACTGTGATGGCATTCATTCATTCATGTTGATTCGCCGGTACTTCCGGCCCGGGTCTTCTCCAGATGGTGACCCAGCGGTGGCCCCCCGGGTGGGGGGGTGACGTTCATCTTCTTTCTTCAGCCCTCCGGTTGGAGGATGTCTTCTTCTATCTTGCATTGACGTCCCAGGAGGAAAGTGTCTTTTACTGTGATGGTTATCTTTGTTAATAGGTGTCCCCCCTTTGTTAATGTTAGCATCTGCCTTCCTCCCACTAGACAACCAGAGCATTCATCATCCTGAACTGACATTCATCGAGAAAACCATTCAAAATGGTGTCTCACCCATTACTTTGTTGCCAAATGCCTGCTGAAGCATTTTGAGTTTCTCTAATTGTTTTACCGAGCTTGAAACAGAATTTCACATACTCGCTTCTTTCTTTCTTTTAAAGATTTCATTTACACAAAAAATTCACAACACACTGACTCAGTGAAAAATGCTTGTCCATCCTTAAGAGTATGACTGACCACACTGAAACTTCCCACACTACTTCACAAAGTTATGTATTGCACTGATCTATGCCACCACCATATTTCATCCATGAATTACATGAAAATTATAGTACGGGAATTTTTTTAAGGCACCTCGTAAATGTACTATACCAGTAACCACTACATACTGTAAACTATCATTGTAACTTTTTTGTATCCTCAGACATAAAGATTTTGATTATGAATGCAGTGTGTTTGGTAGCAACAGACCAAAAATAAACTAGTATTGTAATAAATATTTCTTGAAATGTATAATTTAACCAACTTAAGTTTTAAGAGAGGAAAAAACTTTTTAATTTGCTTCACTCCCAGTTAACCCTTTCAGGGTCCGTCCCGTAGATCTACGGCTTTACGGTGAGTGTCCAAACCGTAGATCTACGCCATGAGCTCAGCTCACTCTGATAAACTGTGAGTGGTACATTTGGGCCTAGATATGAGAGAATACATCTATGTGGTATGTGTGCACCACATAAAACAGATCCTGCAGCACACTGTGTATAATGAGAGAAAAAAACTGAAATCATGATTTTTCGATTAAAACAGCAACTTTGCAGTGTTTTTTCGTATGTTTTTTATAGTTGTATTTGCGATTTCTTGGTCTCATTTGATAGAATGGAAGACATATTACAGAAATGGAGATGATTTTGATTGGTTTTAGCACTGGAAATGGCTTGAAACTGAGCTCAAAGTAGCGGAAATGTTAAATTTTTGCCGATATTCAAGAGTAAACAAACGACCTCACACGTCTAATACACGTCAGCTGGTGGGTCTAATATACATTCACAAATATGGTGATGATATTTATACAATTATTACAGTATTGCATAACAGTAAATCTTCTATTTTTTGGTGTGAATAAAAATTCATTATGTGAATAAAAAATCAAAATGGAATTATATTGTAAAGCCTCAAAACATAACTAATGAACAGAGGAAATGTTAGTTTAGTGCCAGGAATGCCTACATTGTTTATTCTGGACCCTATTTTGAAATTGGAATATTTTGAACTTTGTGTTAAATTGGCCAAATTAACAATTTCCGATCACTTTATTTTGTAGTTGAAACAGTTGACTTGGCGATTTCTTGTGCTCAATCGATAGAATAGAAGTAATACTAGTGAAATAGCTAAGAATTTGGTTGATTGGAATAATGTAATTGGCCTAAAATGGGAGTCAAAGTCGGCAAAATCGCCGATTCATAAATATCGCTGACACATCAAAATTCGCGAGAGCATAATTTCGTCAATTTTCCACCAAATTTCGTACTTTTTGTTTTATTACCTTCACAAAAAGATTCTCTACGATTTCATAAGAAAAAATAACAAATTTTTTTTTTTGAAAATTCTTGGACACTGGTGCGTGACTCCAGATTTGGGCCTTGGACCCTGAAAGGGTTAAATGGAGTGAAATGGGTAGTAGTACGGTATACTAAATTCCATAAGAAACTAAAATAAGCTGCAAAATAAATTAGACTCCCAGTTCTGATAAAGGATAAACCTCTATTCCAGATAGGGAGGAACAGTGGACCCCCGAGTTTCGTGATTAATCCGTTCCAGAGAGTCTGCTGAAAGTCGCAATTCATGAAACTCGAAACCATTATCCCTATGAGAAATAAATAATAACATCACACTTACCTTTACTGAAGACTCTTGTTGGTGTACGGAAGACAGAAGGAGAGGAGAGGGTTAGGGTGATGTTCCTCCACAAATGTTTACACCTCACTCCACTTTGCACAAATGTCCTTAATCTCTGAAGAAGGCACCTTCTTCCCTCTCTTCCTCCTCCTCTGAAGCAATTTCCTCAGCTGGTGTACATAAGAACATAAGAAAGCAGGAACACTGCAGCAGGTTTGTTGGCCCATACTTGGCAGGTCCTTCACAGACCATCCCACTAACAGAATATATGCCCAACCCAATTTTCAATGCTCCCCAAGCAATAAGCGTTGAGAATTCTATTCACTCGTGCGCAAGTCCCACTCAGATCAAATTGTGTGTGTGGGGGAAGTACCCTGGCTGGTGTGGGGAAGCATGCTGGTGTGTGTGGGGAAGTACCCTGGTGGGTGTACATAACATAAGAAAGCAGGAACACTGCAGCAGACCTGTTGGCCCATTCTAGGCAGGTCCTTCACTAACCATCCCACTAACAATATGTGCCCAACCCAATTTTCAATACTCCCCAAGCAATAAGCTTTGATAATTCTATTCACTCATGCACAAGTCCCACTGAAATTGTATGTGTGGGGAAGTACCCTGGCTGGTTTGTGTGGGGAAGTACCCTGGCTGGTGTGTGTGGGAAGTACCCTGGCTGGTGTGTGGGGAAGTACCCTGTCTGGTATGGTGACCTGTACATAGCTCAGTGGTGACATGTACATAGCTCAGTGAGGATGTGTTCAGTGTACTCTTGTGGACTGAACCAAGATGCCCTCCACTGAGCAACTTTACTTACAGCTTAAGGAGGAATTGAGGGTAGCGAAGCTCGAGATATGGCGATTGACAGAGAAAAAAAGAGAATTCGTAGTAGTCCTCCTGTTGAGTCCTCAGGTCAAGAAGGGAACATGGGCAGTGGCTGGACAGATGGAACAGAGTTGAAGATCAAGAAGATGAATGGAGAGGTAGAAACAATGAAGAAGAAAGAGACTGCTGTGGAAACATCAGACGCATTCTCCATGCTACCCAATGAATGTGAGTCGACTACTTGGAACGTCACGATGAATGACACCAAGGAAGGTAAAAACGTTGTTGGAGATAGCCAGGTTAGGTATATGGATAGGGCCTTCTGCTTGCAGGATAGGAGTAGGAGACAGAGGGTTCACTTTCCTGGGGCTGGGATGGAGGATATTGTTAGCCAGCTTGACAACATCATGAACAGTAATGGGATCAATCCTAGGTAAGCATAGAAGTGAGGATATAGTTAGAAAGTATAGGACAGCAATAGACATTAGGAAGAAGGGGGGGGGCATGCCCTGTCATGTGTGGCATTTTGCCAAGAAGGAGTGTTGGAAATGAATGGTTGCCCAGAGCAATTGGTATTAATTGTTGGCTGGACAAACACTGTAAGGATAATACAGTCCCATTCATTGACAACTGGGACCACTTCTACGGTAAAAATGACATGTATGCCAGGGATGGGGTTTACTTATCCAGGGCAGGTGTGGGTTTTCTTGCTAGCTCAGTTGAGGGTGTTGTTAAGACTTTAAACTAGGATTAGTTAGAGGTATGGATTTAGAAATGGAAAATAATGAGTATCGATATACTGACTTAGGCTTTGATATTATGAATCTTAACTATAACAGTCATGGAGTAACACTGGGTAATGACGATTACAGAAATTGTGTAACAGCAAAGGTGAATAGGAAAAAGGTGTAGAAGAAAAAACATATTACTGTATTTTATGCTAGGAGTCCAAGTGCAAGAAATAAAATTAATAAATTTTATTTGTTAGTGTGTGCTGGGAACTTTGATGTCATTGCAAT